TTTGTTGTAACATCTGTTACGGATAATAGCAGCCGTCTGAACTGCATATGTCCATAAATCTTTAGGCAGATTGCTCTCAATCAACATGCATCTTGCCATTTCAAAAATAGTTCTCCATGTTCTTTCAGCTGTCCCATTCTGATGGGGAGAATAAGGGGCCGAGGTTTCATGTCTAATGGCATTTCTACTGAGCAATGACTGGAACTCACTAGATAAAAATTCAGTTCCATTATCAGATCTTATACATTTGATTTTCCCATAAGGTGCCACATCTGCAATAAACTTCTCTGTCCCTTTAACAGTGTCACTCTTAGCTTTCAGGAAGTAGGTAAAAATAGTACCTGAATAGTCATCTGTAAAAGCTAGTGTGTATCTAAACCCATCTTTAGCAGCTGGCTCTATTGGGCCAGCCAGATCTGCATGTACTAGATCCAATGCACCTTTAGCTTTTCCATCAGGCTCTCTATTTCTGGTCTGAGTAAACTTGCCCTGTGTGCACACTTCACAGTTTAGATGAGGCTTTTCAGTTTTACCTTTAATTTTCATTCCATCTACAACACTCTCCAGCTTTGACACATCTTCATAATTACAGTGACCTAATATTTCATGCCACGTTTGGATGTCATAACATGCATTGCATTCATCAACCTCATCTGCAAGAGTATTTAAATAGAACAATCTGTCATGAACATCAATATCAAAAGCCGTACCATTTTTATGGATGAGCCTGTTCTGTCCGTCTTTGAAGATGACTGTCGCTCCTTGGGCAGTTGCGGCTTTAACTGAAAAGATGTCCTGGGAAAATGATGGGACGTACAAGGTGTCCCTCAACATCATCTCCACAACCCGTCCATTATTGTCTCTCACACGAACTCTGGCGGTGCCTTTCTTCAGCGCGATGCCACTGGCCCTCACGCCATCAGCTAACTCCAACACATGGCTCTGAGGCTTAAACGTTGAGTCGAAATCCTGGAACTTTGCCGCGTCCGTCACAATGTGCTTTGTTGCACCGGAATCAATCATGAGGCCCTTCATCTTCGTGCCATAAATCTGGGAGTCGTCAATCTGCTTCACCTTGAAAGCGAACGTGTGGTCTTCCTCATCCCTCGCTTGTTTCACCTTGTCTCGCCTTTTCCGCCGGCAGTTTGCGTCTTTATGCGTGGCGCTCTTGCAGAAACTACACCACTGTCTCGACTCTCTGCGCTCGCCCGAGGTTGAAGAACAATCCAGGGCTTTGTGACCTCTCTGGCCGCAGGTGTAACAGGTGAATTTCGTGCTCCAATCGTCTCTTCCTTTAACTTTCATCACGCAGTCTTCCGCGGAGTCCGCAACACTCAACTTCTCGGTGCCCTCATAGCTCCACAGCTTGGTTTTAAATTGGGCAAAAGTTAACTCTTCATCACTCTGTGTAACGTAAACAGAGAATGGCTTGAACTCATCGGNGTAAAAGACAGATGTAAAAATACATCTTAAAATCTTCCCTTGTAAGTTTCTGTTGGGCTAACAAGGTCAGCAACATGCGCAGAGAAGCCGCATGCTAACATGCTAACACCCAACCATCCAGACAACCAGAAGATCTTGTTGTTGGGTTCCAACATTTCCATCACTATTTCACATCAGGACCTTTTAATTTACCAAAAAATGATTTTCCACACACTGTAGATAAAACTCAGAGGGGACAATATGTACAACCACAACAATACAAATCAGGAAAAATTTACTTTTCGTCTATTTTGAATAAAATTTGTCACTAGCCTATATCAGCATTTTAAAATGTATATATAATTTGGAAGTGTGGAGGCAAGTTAACTAAATTAGACAAGTTAAACAAGCCAAGTTTCTGTGGTTTTCATCAGAAATCCACTTATAGAAACCTTGTTGGGACAATGCACTTAGCGCACTAAGTATCTCCAATTCCCACCCACATTATTAGATTTTGCAAAACAGTGCAAAATCAATGCAACCACAGCATCTGCAAACTCCACTCAACTCAGTCAGCCTTTGATCTCTGTTTGATGGTATTACAAAACACTTTTTTTTTCCTCTCAGTTTTTATATCTCAGCTTCTGTATTTGCTGCAAGTTCTTGTTCTTGGTGTTTTTCTGGCTGCTGTAAATGTAACAATTGTGTTTCCTGTGCAAGTTTCCGGCATGAAAGGATTTGATTGGGGAGATATTCAGTCAAAAAGAACAAAAAAAAAAAAAAAACTTTGAGAGCTGATAACGCATAAATCAGACTCTGGGTTCGCATGTGTGTAACACCTTCGTCAATCTAGTAATTAATCAATGTCTGATCCAGGCTGCTGTCTGGCTGAGTTAGTGCTCTAGACTGCAGCCAGTTTAATCCCAAATACAGCGTGATTACTCCTCAGCGCATTTAAAATGAATTCTGAGGTCAAATTGGTCGTTTGAGGGGAAGAAAACAAATCTCCAATACTGCACATTTTACAGTGGTTCAACAGCAGACATACATTAGGCCCACGTCGTGGTCTAAACCAATCAGAAATAGTGAAAGCTCTGCAAAAACACCAAATGTCACAAAGTATTATTTGTCTAGTTTTTAGTGCATAATATCTTAGTTTACTTTAAATAAGACAAAACTAACTTACAAGTAACCTTTTGATGAGATATAGGAGCTTGTTTTAAGTCAGTAATTCCTTAATATTGATTTTAATAAAGGAAATACTGGTTCTACTGACAGATTATTCCATTTATGACATGGGAAATTTTTCATTATCAGTGAAATAATCTGCCAGTACAACTAGTATTTTTATATATATATCAATATTAAGGAATTACTGACTCTGGTATCTTGATGAAATGTTAATTGTAAGTTAGTTTTATCTAATTTCAAGTGTACTAAGATATTTTCACCAGAAACAAGACACACACACACAAAATAAAATATATATTAGGTATTTTTTTACAGTCACTCTGTTGACACTGCCATTAGTAAAGGGCTGGAAATGCCGAGGACAGACGGAGGAAATCAAACCCACAGAACCACCAGATGCGTTTGGCCTGAGTGCAGTGCTCATCAGAGCGACCTGTGGCCTTTTATTGAGAAACGATGTCACCTGTGCAAAACTCCGCCCACAACAGGAAGTCAACATGAAAACAATATTCAACACACTCTGATTAGCCATGATCCAGCGGGTTCAGGTGTGTGTGCTGCAGTCAAGGAGAGAGGCGAGTAGGGTGGCTAGGCTAGGCTATGCTAGGTTAGGCTACGCCAGTCAGATAAACAGTGAATGAAGTGCGAATGAGGAGAAAATATGGAAAAGCTAAGACCTAACCTGTTAGAAAATCATTACAAATGCTCCGAAACAGAGACCAGTTTTGCTCAAAAACCGCTCTTCTGAAGTGGCTATATTTGCGCTACCAATCTGAGCTCATATTTCTGTGAATAAATAACAAATTTCCCTGCCTTCCTACAATAAAGTCTATTTTTTTGAGAAAAAACCCCCGAACATCCCCACTTTTGACAAAAAATTACTTTATTTTAGGGAGGTGACGATGTGCAAAGCTGTCGCGTGTGTTTCTTCCACTCTGACTCTCCTCTCCTCGCGCGCGCACTCGGCCTAACGGCTTCCCTTCGCGACGTAACGTAAGTGTACGTAAAGGAACCACTACAGACCCCACGCCTCCCCAGCGCCGCTCATGAAGACAGTTTGACCAGATTTCCCTGGCTAAAGTCGATAATATGATGCAGTGGATTTACTTTAGAGAGGGCGGGAAGGCAATAATGGATTTCAAATCGAAACTCTGACGAAGCGATGCATTTATAAAATGCAGACAATAAGCCAACGCTGCGGTACGTGTGTACATGAGTGTGTATTCATGAACTACTAAAAGGTTCAGAGGAATCGATAGGGAATTACTCAAAAAACTTACAAATGCACTTTCATCAACTCGCAGACGGGGTCAGAACAATTTATGCACTTGCTTTAGATGAGCTTAATGCACAGCGAGTCTACGCCAGGCCATAGACTCGCTGGCGTTGACATGCTGTTTTATCTTCGCCCCCGTCGCTGGTGTCAAACCACTAAAATCGAGTTACGGGAGCATCATCGGGCTCTCCTCCCACCTCCTCGCCAGCCTCCGAAACGAGTGCATCCATTTCCACTGGCTTATCCGAACGCCATCAACTCGCTGCAAATGACGCTCATTACCAACACAGAGAGGAAATACTGCATATCACTGGGTTTGGCCTAAGTGTGTGTGTGTGTGTGTGTGTACATATATATCTATAAACATCATCGTGTGAGCTCAGGTTTCCTCAAGATCTCGACAAGTCCAGACACGGCACTGTAGTCACGCCAGACACGACAGAGACTCTTCTCACATTATGCAATGAATAAAAATGAATCATCAGTGCAGACCCGTCACGGTTCGGTTGTGTTGTCAGGTTTCTCAGTTCACGCCTAGTCAAAAGGTGTGCAGTGACTGCATGGTCTGCTCGACTATGTGTTAGAAACTACTTTGTAAATATGGAGCTATCCATTACAACAGGTTGGACATGACAGAGCAAACATCTAACCAAGAAACGTGAGACGACTCATAAAAAAGAGACGGAGTTTACGCTGCACATAATCCTGCATGTCCTGTACTCAGGGTGTGTGTGTGTGTGTGTGTGTGTGTGTGTGTGTGTGTGTGTGTGAAGAAGGGAGGGCAAGGAGGGGAGGAATTAGCAGGAAATAGATTCAAGACACATCAAGAAGTGCATAAAAAGCAGAGCTGCACTAAGCTGTATTCAAACGGCTGCAGGATGAAGAGTTGAAAGAGCCATTACTGAAACCAAAACTTTCTGCACCGCTGCACCTCTAGCTTCTTCATTTTCTTTTTTCTTTTTTTCCCCCACTCTCACCGGTTTATGTGTTTGCTGGACTGTCTGTGGCTTTTTGTGATGTCACCGGGTTCCTGCGCTGAGGAGACAGACCGGTGCTACGCTGAAAACACCTACAACAGCTGAGAGCCTGAAGAGAGAGAGAAGGAGAGAGAGCTTCATCCCTCCGCAGCTGATGAGGCGAAGCGGTGGAGGGGACACTCTGAAGCGGCACGACTGCGGTGCTCACCGGCCAGACCTGGACCTGCTTTAACAGGACAGAAAGTTGGTGGTAAGGACGACCTTTTTGAAGCCCTATTTGATGGAGAAAGTTTTTGTTTGGCTGCTTTCACTTTCTGCCGTCTTGACTTGACCAGGAATGTTTGCTTAAGCATACAGCTTTTGTTTTTATTTTGTCTTATCTTTTTTTTTTTTTTTTACAATGTTTGCATTTTAATGTATGCTTAACATGTGACCTTGAATGTAAAAGCTGTATTTAATATGGTAAGATAATATGCATGACAAAAAGTTTAGATAAATTAGTTTTCCTTGCATTTAATTCATAATTCCAAGTAGTTTTCTTCATTCTTATATTTTTCCCGGGATATGTGAATTTCATGTATTTTCAAATACCTGGAGGATAGAAAATGTAACAACCCAACTTAAAAATTGGTGAACTGTTTTAAAAAATATACTTTTCACATCTTAGCCACTTTTTTCCTCCCACCATTATCAATACGTACCATTTTTTTCTTAACATCTAAAAAATGACAGGAAACGGCACGCTGTAGATAACCTGAAATGGTGCCAGGAAATTGATCAAGCAATCATTTACTCAATGACTTACTTAGCATATTTCAGCATAACGTGGAGTGTCACTCTGAGATAAGGAAAAGAGGAAGAACGAAAGAAGAAGCGACGGGTTTAAAAACATCAGCAGCAGATAAAGAGATGTCTGAAAAATACAAAAACTATGAATCGAAACAGTGTCCTTATAAAATGTACTTCACTTTTTCATTAATACATGTATTTAAGATATTTCAACAAACAATAAGGACTGGAGATCAAATCCTAATCCCCTAATCAGGAAACAGGTGCAAAATCAACCTAAAACTGCTCTGTTAATCCAATTAATATCTAACTTTTTTTTTACAGACTTTCAGAAAGTCCTCAATTTGTGAATTCTCTCCATCCGCCAAACTATGAGTCTGTCTGGTAGATGGATAAAAAACAAAATGCCAAAGTATCTAACTCAACATTTGTTCTCATTTTGACGTTTTTATATACTGTAAATATTTGTAGATGAAGCACAGAAGAGGCCTCTTCCAATAAGCAAACCACAGTTATGCAAATTTACAAGTACTGCTCGTAAAACTGCAGTCCGTTGTTGAACAACAATGCTCAACAAAGCCTTAAGAGCATATAAAACTATAATAGTCGAGTCAAGAATTTGACTTCTCTGAAGGAAGTAATAATACCATAAGCATATGAACAAAACCTTCCATTAACTAGTCTGCATGTATTTGTTTGCAAGTAATCATTTTGTCATCAGTGATGGTGTTGGTTTCAGAGAGCGGTTTTGCTTTTTGCCAATTTCTTCTAACTGTCAGGACTGTGCAGCAGACATTAGTAATTTCGCCTTTCCTGCTTTGATAAAATCTGTCACATGACAGGATGACAGTCTTAAAAATGCTTATCTGCTCTCTCTGTTTCCTCCAGAGCATGCACAGCTGCTCAAAATATCTAAGTCAACCTATCTCATCAGAACAGCTTCTCATAATGTATGTATTTTTTCTACCTGTGTGTTTCCCTCACAGATTTTTGCAGATTTTTATCCTGCGGTCTTCCCCTCTGTCTCGGCAAGCTGCGACCAAACATGGTGCACCCAAACACGACACTCGGTCAGAACATAACATGCCCCCCCGACGACATCAACAACTTCCGTAACCAGGTCTACTCCACGTCGTACTCCCTCATCACGGTGCTGGGGTTTGTGGGGAACGGCTTCGCCCTGATCGTGTTGATCAAAACGTACCGCCAGATCACGCCCTTTCATGTCTACATGATGAACCTGGCCATGTCCGACCTGCTGTGCGTGATGACTCTGCCTCTGCGGGTTCTCTACTACGTCCGAAAAGGTCAGTGGGAGCAAGGGGATTTCCTCTGCCGCATCAGCTCCTACTTCCTCTACGTGAACCTCTACTGCAGCATTTACTTCATGACCGCCATGTCCGTCACGCGGTTCCTGGCTATAGTTTATCCTGTGAGGAACTTGGGGGTAGCCACGGTGAACCGCGCTCGTTTTGTGTGTCTGGGGATATGGGTCTTCAGCAGTTTCGCGTCTTCTCCCTTTCTCATGTCTGGTCAATCCATTGACCCAGAGACAAACAAAACCAAATGCTTCGAGCCACCGGAACACAAAAGCGAACGTCTACCCAAGCTGCAGGCGCTGAACTACTTTGCTCTGGTGCTGGGGTTCATCCTGCCCTTCCTGGTTATACTAATCTGCTACGCCGGAATAGTCCGCACTCTGCTTTCTCGCAACCCGGCTGCCCGTCGACAGAAGAGCTCGGCTTCGAAAGCCATCAGGATGATCGTCGTCGTCCTGCTGACCTTCCTGGTCAGCTTCATGCCGTACCACATACAGCGCACCATCCACCTGAGTCTGCTTTCCACGGAGATGAGCTGCGAGGACAAGAACTTCATGCACAAGTCTGTGGTGGTGACGCTGTGCCTGGCCGCCTGCAACTCGTGCTTTGACCCCATGCTGTACTTCTTCTCCGGAGAGAGCTTCCGCAGTCGCCTGTCCTCCTTGCGCCACACGATGAGACGCAGCACCATCCGTCGCCCGTCCAAGATGAAGCACATAATCAGCTCAGAGTCCGGGGAGAACCAGAACCAGGTCGAAGGCTTAACTCCGGCATGCATGGAGGATCATCGAACAAGCAGAGGGTCTCTGGTTAAAGCAGGGAATGAAAGCAACATATAAAGAACACAGAAGGAAAAAAAAGCAAAAAAAACATTTTTTACAAATGTTGCTGGGTTTAACGTACAGCATGAGTATTAAACGTTCAGTAAGTTATAAGACTAATGAAGACAGGTTTCATTGAAATGGATATTTATTTTTCAAAAGACTGCTTATTTAAATGAGTAATATAATATCACACGAACAATAAACGGCAACCTGTTGTACTTCATAGGTTAGTGGATGATCATATCGTTGTAGGAATGCCTCCTGGATAATGTTGTAACAGATGTTTTGAACCCCGAGTGTCATGAATGTGTCTTGTTTCATACGTATGAAGTACATGTGCCATCTTTGTAAAATAATGTGGAAGTAAACACAACGTCAAGACAATAAATCATGTAAATAAATGAATATTTCTATCCTTTTTCTTCCACTGCAGATGGATGGTAGCGATCCATCTGCAGTGTTTACATTCAGCGATTGCCAGTTTAGAAATGTTTTCAAAGCTTTTAAAGCTTCCTTAATTTATTTAAACTTTTAAAGTGCTTTTATTTTGATAAGATCCCAGTAATAAAGTATTCATTACTGTAGTACTACAGTAATAAAGTATTTGCCCTTCGACGATCTCAGGATTGCATGACATTCTGCTACAGATTAGGGAACTATTAACCTCAGAACCTCACTTTAAAAAAATAAAAATATTTATAATAACCCTGTTAGCCATCAATTCATAGCTATACCTTAGCAAGAAAAAACATCTAATCAACCAGCTAGAACAACATAAACTAATGTGTATAAAAGGAGCATTTAGTGGATAAATTGATCATAAAAATGATCAAAGGCCATATAAGTCCATTGAAATGGACTGAAATGTTTCTGGGATGTTTTATTACACAAAATTTCCATTTATTTGTGAAAAGACAGATGAGAGAACCCCTGACTAAACCAAAATAGAAACTGTTCCCTGACAGATTACTCTTCAATCGAGTATTGTGACAGCTTTCTTTACTGCAGATAATGAGAAGATTATTTTCAAAAATTATCTCAATTAATGCTTTTCAAAGTTAGCATGAAGCAATAACTCCATGGGTGATGCAAATTGATGCTCAATTTGCATCTGATCCATGGATCAATTTGCATCACCCAGCCTGCTCAAAGTTGCTCAATTTCAACCTTATTTTCTTTTTCTTTTTTTATTGCTTTTCCTACTCTATATTTTATTACATTTTATGAGAAATCCATCATATGACACCATTTCATCTCATGAATTCATCTTATCTCACTTTATCATATAGCTTCTCCCTCTTACAACACAGACACTATTAAAACTAGTAACAGGGTTTGGAAGTGAACCTTTCGAGTAACTGAAAGATTGTTTTTGCTTGCGCCTTCTTTGTTTTGGCTCGGAAGACATAAGTCACACCGCTCCCGTGTTTGCAAGGTAAATAAGAAACAGGCAGTGAGACTGGCTGAACCCATCGCCCGGAAAGACGCAGACAAAACATGTGTGGCTTTGCTAATGTCAAGAAACTCCTCTACGAACATTAATATAGCTTGGTACAAAATGGCGGCATTTAGCTGTCAGCGTTTCCAGTCTTGATGTTAGACTGAGTACAAGTCCTGAATCTACGTTTGAGGTTAATGTTAAGTTTAACTGCTGCGTACATTTTCTGTAAATAGGAAGGTCGCACCAGAAACGCACCTGCCTCTCTCAGCGCGTCCTCTAGTGCAGTTACACGCTCTGACCAGCAGGGGGTGCACCAACCCATCATTTAGTTCCTGTCTGTGGGTCGTTATCTTTTTTCCCCTGCATGCAAAACTCATCATAATGTTCCTTCTCAGCTCTTCTAGGCTAATTTACAAATTTAATTTGTTTTGACCAGATGAGTCACGAGGCTGTTTTTATTAATGTTATATAAACACTTGTGACTCTATATGGATCATGGAGAGCGGTAAGAGCGTGCCCTCTTCTATCTTTGAAGGCACAGCGATGATGATGAGACATCCTGTGCACTGGGCCTCCAGCTATATTAGAAATACAAAACAGCCGGGAGGGAGGATGCTGCTGAGGCCTGCCCTGCTGATTGGAACATAGAAGACCACTGTCTCTCTGCTTCATAAACAGATAATATCGAGCACATGATCGCCTCCCGCCTCCGTTTGCACAAGAGCATGTTTGTTTTGAGTCTGCAAAGCTGATCTCTCTCCGAGTTAGGAGGAGGCGGGTCACGTCGTTAATAATGTACCTTGCGAAGATGTTTGCTATATTAAACGTGTAAGGAAAGTCCCAGCTGAATATGTCTAAAAAAAAAGAAAAAGAAAAACTCCTGCCGCTAAAGTCATCACTCCCCTTAAGTGATTTAACCCAAATGCTCAATAGGTTCTGAGAAAGAGTAAGAATAAAACTTGTTTTGTTTTACAACTCCTGCTGATGTTCTCCACCCAGGGCAGTGTTACGGCGTGTGTTTGCTGAGTGGATTCAAGTGCAGATGGGCTGAGGCAGAGAGTTGATGGAAGCACAGGGAGCCAGAGGAGAACAAAAAACATGAAGAGTGTGATCGGGAAACTGGATCTAATGGGAGAAACCAGCAAAGAGTGGAGAGGAGCAGAAGTGTTTAGGTACTGGGAGATGAATGTGGACCAATGGACCTGGGCTGATTGGCTGATTGCAGGTGTGAGAGGAGAGCAGATGGCAAACAAAGAGAACGAGAGAGAGTGAGTGGTACAGGGGACTAGGAAATAAATCTAACATTAAAGATTAACTACACCTAAGAAACTAAACTAGAGAAACAAAGAATAACTAGATACAAGAAATAAACATAATTAAAGCTCCGCGGA